GCTGGAAGAGAGTAAAGGGCTGTTGTTAAACAGTTTCTTACCGTAAGAGGGAGTTCAGACCTAGATCTTTCCAGTTAATCACACAACAAACTTAGCTCATCGCAATAAAGAGCAGCTCAGAGCCGACTGGCTCTTTTAGGCACTGACTCCGAACAGGATTCTTCCACCCAGCCATCTCCTCAGCGGGATCCGCCAGCAAGCCCGGCAGCACCATGTGGGTGACCAAACTCCTGCCAGTCCTGCTGCTGCATCATGTCCTTCTCCATCTCCTCCTGCTCCCCATCGCCATCCCCTATGCAGGTTAGTTTTCTTCATTATTATTATTTTAACTCTCTCTCTTGCTGACCTTTCCTTTTCCTCTTAACACACTTTTTTACCCTATTCCCAGCATCCTTTTAAACCTCAGTCTGTGGTATGGTGGTATGGGTTTCTAAAACCTCTCGTTATGCTTTCTTTTGACATTAATTTTCTGCTAGAAAAGCATTTAAAATGATAATTAACACCCCCTCAGTGCCACCCCCGCCAATCCCATCACACTTAGCCTAATAGTTACAGATTATGGGACAGGAAAGAAGTGCTAACACAAGCAAGAACTTTGCTGGCTTGGACAAGTTTAAAGTTGGAGAGAGGGTCTAGTCTGAAGAGGGAAGAGTTATAGTCAGTCCAGCAGGGACTCATCTTTTTCCAGGGAATAATTTTTCATGGTAATCCATTACCCCACATCACTTAATCAACATTCAGGGTCAAATTATGACATTATGCAGGTTTTCATTTGCAGGAGGCAGATTAAACTCTGAGTATGCATGATATAAAAATGAAAGAAAAAGCTTCTTAGCTAAGATCTCTTTCTTTCTGGGTGTAGTTGTCTGCCCTTTTGAAACTACAGTGCAAGGGAGGCAAAAATTGTGTGCCTTTGATTAAGGCTGCAGAATTGTTTCTCCCTTGAATTTGCAGGTTGGGGAGGAGTTGCTTGAAATATTTTATAGAAGTTTAGAGATCTCATTTGCTGCTGTGGGAAGTTTTCTCTTGTTATCAGGATAAGAGGAAACATCTGTATTTGGCTATATTATCATTAAAGTGACTGGGGTGCCAATGGGAGAAGACAGCGAACATCAAGGGTGGGCACCAGGGAATAGAAGAATGGAGCAAATACCCAGATGGTAGACATGGCCTTTTTACAACACAAAACAGGGAACTGGCTGCATCTTTTGAGATAACTTACATGTGAAATTTATCAGACGTCTGATCTAGTTTCTGATGTAATACAAGAATTGAAAACCTCAAGAATTTGCTACATGATAAGAAAAATCATCCAGCCCACCTGGCTTTCTTTTATTTGTGAAGTGGCCCTTTTGGAAAATAATACTGTTTAAAAGGGGTCACTTTGAAAGCATTTAGGGAAGATTTCTGAAGAGGTGAAAAAGTTGATCAAATCAGGCAGGTTATCATGCTTGAGTTGTGTCATGTCAAAATGGATTCATAGAAGACATTGCTGGTTTAGAGTACTTTGAGCACAGATTGAAATCATGGATCATATTTGGAGAGCTTTCAGTTTTAAAGGTTAAAATGTCACTGATCTAAAGTAGAATATGGTTACCTGAAATCATCTGTGTTAATGCAAGGAGAACACAGTGTGGAAAACCCAAACAGTAGATCAACCATAGACAATGTCTATTTGTTTTTGGCACATGTTACGACGTTTTGGCAGGAGACATACATTCGTAATTATATTTCACTTTGGCTAATGTAGAAATGACTGTGTTTCCTGAGTAAAGGGGGAACACAGCCCAAGAGCGTGCTGGCAGGCCAGGAGGGTCCAGTTGGGAATTACAAATATGTTGTGAATAATTCCTGAAGTGGATAATTCTAAAATTGTCATCAAAAGAGGGTCCATCCTTGGGTGGCCAGTTTATTTTGATTTTTTAAAATAACCTCCAAAATGAAAAACATAGGTAGCCCTCTTAGAACAGAGTTTGTTCTTTTTAAAAATGTCATCTTATGTTGAACATTTAGAGTTTTTCTTTTGAAGCTGTTGTTACTTGCTTTGGTTATAATTTTTCATTTATTCTATGAATCTATATTTGTACATATTGTAAAATAACACATTGTTAGAAAATAAGTATTTACTATAATGAGTTGACAGCTGTTATGAACAGAATACATTGAAATACTTTACTAAAAAGTTTCTCAAGAAATATTCAATATAGTGGACCCAAGCCATCCTTGTAGGAGTTGGTCTATGTAGAATTAACCTCTATTCAATCCCATCTGCACTGAAAAAAAAAAAAAATCAGTCCTATGTAACATAAGAAGCATTAAATGAGCACCTAATGTCCAAGAGTCTGTGGGGGATAGAAATCTGAACAAATAAGAAAGGAACCTATATTTGTTGAGTGACTTCTATGTACCACGTTCTAAAGTTAAGCATTCTAATTCTAGTAAGATTGACACTATTGAACTCATTTTACATGAGAAAATTGAGGTTTAAATCCTTTGATTATCTTATTTTTTTTTAATGAGTTAAGGGACAAAGCTGAGATTCCTACCCAAATATATGTGAATGAAGTAAGTGGCGGGTTTTTTTTCTTTTATTTATACTAAAGCTGAGAGTAATGAAATCAGTGGAAACTTACTTTAAAAAATCATTTAGTTAAGTTATATATTTCCAAAAACCCTCTGTTAAAAATACTATTATACTAAGGTTGAGAGTTCATTTCTAGCATAGGGAATCAAACCAGGCTCAGGGGGTATGCGGCACCCAAGTTAAGTGTGTGGTGGGATGGTTGGTACCTAAGCAAAGGAACAAAAAACAAAAGTGGCCCAAAGTACAGAAATGAGATAGTATCAGGAATGCCCCAGAAAGGATCTCCACAAAGCAACTGAAGGCAACAATTTGAAGCAGGTGTACTGGGTATGTGAGGGGGAGTGTGGTCTATGATTGGAAAAGTAAGATGAAGTAGAATGGTTAGGCTTGAAAGTCATGCTAAGCCATGTGGTATCTATAATGAATATCATGGGCAGCGGTTGAAAGTTTCTGTGTTGACGAGATACTTGGTTGAAATTGTCTTTCAGTGTGGTTACTTCAGTTTCTGTGTGGAGGGAGAGTTGTAGACAGAAACAGACGGTGAGGGCGGAGACCAGGATGAGGCTTCTAGAATAATGAAACCCTGAACAAGAAGTGGAAAGAATGAGAAGGAGGGAAATACCTAGAAAGGCTCCAGAAATCACACTGAACATCACTTCATCTTGCAAGACCTCTTATAAGAGATTATTTTGCTGCTTCTCAAATGCCAACAATTGATTTATATCTGACATAATTTCTTCCTTCTTGACATCTTTATTTGTGATATTGTTGGCATCTCTGAAGAAGGAGAAATGATTGTTGACTTATGAAATTTGAAACCTAGGTAAAATAATAAAAATTTGGAATTCTGCTTGAAATTCTTGTCTTTGGAGACTACAAAATCTCCAGCCACAACCATTCCCTTCCATTAATTATTTGTATACTTTCATCTTAACATCTTGCCACTTCAGACTGTTAATCACTAATCATGTGGGTAGGTTTCTCAGAATATGTGGAGCCAGATTCCTGCTTCTTTCCACACTCTGCAAATCCTTTCCTTGCATGATTTTCCTTTGAAGTCAATGGCTAGTCCACACAGAGAAGAAAATATATGAGGTACTGAGAGAAATGAGTGTGAGACCTGGAGACCAGAGGGAGAAATGTGTCTTTCTTCAAGCACCTTGATACATTTGACCTTACTTTCTGTTTGTAGGTTTTCACTAGGATCCTAATGATTTCAGTTCTAAAACAGGGACTTCAGGTTCTTCAGGAAATATAGCTTCCAGAATGTTTTCCCATACTGGGAGAAGAGGAAAAAGGGGTTGTAATTTAAAGTACAGGAAAGCATGACAAATTTGTAGTGATCTCTCACCCTTTGATTTCATTTCAATATTTTGTTTATAAACTTCAACTAACAGTCACGCACAAAAAATAGTAGGGAAAAATCTGATCCAAAGATATCTTTGAGTTTCTTCCCAAATTAGCTTGGCTTTTAACTGTTTTCAGTAAAACAAGCATCAGTTGTTAATACATATGGTAAAGAGAAAGTTGAAACTATTTTCAGCAAAGGAATTTTATTTTCAGATGCTGTTTTTGAGTGACTTCTGTTTTGAATTTTTCTTTTATTGAATAAGGAATTAATTTTATAGATGCATGGATTACATGATACACAACCAGCTCCAACTTCATATTTTTGAGTAATTAGTTACTGACAGTATAAATGACTGAATTATAAGGGAAAGTTTTCATGTCACGAAAAGTAAATAGTGAGAAGGGAATTCTGGTGTCTGGTTCCGATTGCCCCTGATTAGCTTTGGAGCCTCAGACAAACTTTTCAGTTCTACTTATTATCTAGTAAAGAGAATCATAGATTTGTTTTTCAAAATGCTTTTTGATCTTTAGATGAAAGGTATTGGTGGAAAATTTATCAGTAAGCAAGGATAGACTATTTTTATGAGGTACAGCTACACATTAACACATTTCAGTAGAACAACTGAAGAGCTGTAGAATTAAACATGATCAATAATTCCACAGAGACCTCTTTTCTCCAGAATAGTCTTCATGGCTTGCCTTCATTTTGCATGGTATTGAGAAAAGAAACCAGAACATTGACTGGGAGTTCTATTTTATATGCTACATTAAAATACACTAAGAATGTAATATTTGTCTTAAAATATTTGAGTCTACTTTTATGATTTTCTCTCACCCTTAGACATGCAAATAATAAATGCATTATACCTCAGGCCAGTTTTAATTCTATGTTTTTATTTAATATAATTAATTTACATGATTCATATGTAATAAAATTATTCCATTTTGGCGGACAGTTACTTTTTAATAGATTTTTTTGTACCAAGTAACTGCCGTTTATTTCTAAGAAATATTCAAATGCATTCAGGAAATTAGATAACTATTATGCCATGAAATATTTCACAGCACCTAAGAAATAGTGCAAGAAGGTCAAAGGAAGGAAAAACCCTTAATGGAGAAACTCATATTCCATTAACATGGTTCTACGACAGAAACCCAAATTTGAAAAGAATTATGTCTTCTTTGCTTGAAAGAATAAGAGTTTCTTCTCTTAGCAGCAAGCAAGGATAGACTTATCAGGTACAACTACACATTAACACATTTCAGTAGAACAACTGAAGAGCTGTAGAATTAAACAAAGATTAAAGAACAGATTTCAAAACAAACTAAAACCTTGTATATTTATAACACTTTAATCCAAATAGATTTCCAAACATTTACTTAATGATTATAGTTTAAATAACTTTTTTTTTAGTTGAGTTAATATAACTTTTGTTTTATAGATTGAATAATTGGGATATTAACATTACAGGTAATTAAATAGTCATTCAGGAAGTCAGAAGGATGCTAGAATTATCATCTGTCTGCCAACGTTATCCAAGGCATTTGGTCCACACTCAATAAATAACATGCTGATAGATGGTTTGGTCGATTTCATTTTCATGTCAAAATGTCTTTTAAATTATATCTGTTGTACCACCACCATTCCATCTTGTAGGGCAAAGAAAGGTTAAAAATGAAAACATCATTATAGGAATTAGTACTAGTCTTTTGAAGATTGTGCTTTGGAGTTTTACAGAGGACTGGAAATTTAGAAGACATCAGGTTTTGTCTAGTTTATCGTGACCTTCTGGTTAGGAAGGATGTTAATTAGTAGTATCTGCATGTTTAATAAACCAAATGGAGCCAGAGGTTGCTGGCAAACTTGAGTGTGATGCCATTCTTGGTACCTTACTCTGCTCTGGCCATATTTCCAAATTTTGTACCAAATCTTTTCATGCTTCTTTCTTGACACATTTAGCCACATATAAAGACCAGTAATAAACCCGGGAATATTTCCTGCTCTACCATTCAGGTTTCTTCTCTAAGGAAATCTAAACCAAATATTCAGAAAAATGTTTATAAGCCTTATTTCCACATATAATCTTAGCAACCTTAGTTCAGAGTAGTGGTTCTGAAGTCAGGCAGCTGTGTTTCCAATCTGATATCTTTAAGAGGTCAATTAATTTTCCTTTATGTCTTGGTTTCTTTGACTTAAAAGTCAATGTATCATTACTGCCTAAAAAAAACATGTTTAAAAGAATTGGCAGGCAGAGTAGCACTATCACATCCACCCTTATTATTTAATAGCTGCAATCTAGTAGACATTTTGATATACTTTGGGAAAGTGGTGATCAGCATTAGATCGGGGATACTTGGGGGAAATTGAGAATCTAGAAACAAGTTTTTGATACTCAAAAGTTATCCCTAAGATCAAGTCTTTTAAAGGTTCTCTTAGTTCTGTTTTTCAGGTTTTCAGTAGGAGGCTTCATGTTATCTAGGGGCATGAAGAAAAATGACTTCGTTACATTAAAGGATGAAGTTTTACATACATTTGATTTATAGCATTTGGCTTGATCTCAGAACAAACAGTTCAGTGATACCAAGAAATAGTGTCCAAAAGCACGAAAACATTTATGCAGTCAGTGAAAAGAGGACTAAAATATGAATAGTATGAAAGACTTTACAGAGTGGGTCAGAAGGATGTCTACACTGCACGTTTTTGTTTCTTACCTAGAATTGGCTTATTTAATTAATACTACAGCTGACATAAGGAACAATTGTAGAAGGAAATGAGAAATTTAATTAGAAAGCATGGCACAATATGTTTCTATCACTGATACTTGCTTTCATGCTGCTTGGAGAATATCATGGTATTTAGCTATTAGGATAGAATGAACTCTATCCTAATTTTTAAAAGTGCTTTCATTTGGAAAAAATATAAATGACACGACAAGTTATTTGTTTTTCTTTGATTATAATATCTCTCTTACTCTTAAATGTTTCCTACCTCACTGCACCTCTAAGTCTAGTGTATTGTCGCATGAAATCGTTTTCTTACAGATGATCTGTAAGGATGTTTTTTCATATGAGCCTTAAAAGCGTTTTTCCTATTTTTTTATTTTCATATTTAATAGAGGGACAGAAGAAAAGAAGAAATACAATTCATGAATTCAAAAAGTCAACAAAGACTACTTTGATCAAAGTAGACCCATTACTGAAGATAAAAACCAAAAAAGTGAACACTGCAGATCAATGTGCTAATAGATGTACTAGAAATAAAGGACTTCCATTTACTTGCAAGTAAGTCACTTCATTTTGTTCTTAAGGTCACTTTCCAAATATAGCATGTATGTATTATAATCATGTTTTTAAAAAAAATTTCAATGTGATTTGACCACCAAATTCTAGTTTTAACTCATTACAACAGAAGACTTGGCTCTCAGTTTATGGAAACATAGCTTGAGGAGGAGAGTGTACAAACACTGCTATCTTCTAAAATTCACAGTGGCTTTAGTTTTGGAATTTGTTTTTTCATCTTATGAACAGTAGAATTTGAGAAACTATAATTAAATTTGGTTGACTTTTATCTCTCTAACATTTTAAAATATTCTATTCAGAGTAAACTTTTTTTTTTTTACAAGAACAGAAGTTGGGCAACAGCCAAAATTTATTGCAACTTATATCATTGTCTGTAGGGATTTAAATAAGAGGTATTGAGAAAATTAGTTAAAAACTAGAGGGATTGGTATCAGTGGTGGAGACTATTTTTAAAATGTTAGGGGACAACAATGATGAAGCTTCAGGTAAAAATTGATAGGGCAATTTAAAAAGACATGAGCGGACTCAGATAATTTCATATCTTTTGACAGATACTGTGTGACTTCACAGATAAGAATTCCTTACTACTTTGCCAGTGATCTCAGATGATAAAACTTATAGTTTTAAGCTAGGAAGGTCACAATTTCATCTGAATGGTATCTCAAAGTGTTAGAAGAAGACACATTTTCTAGTTCTTCATAAGTACTGTCTCTACTCACATATTTCCTATTCTTTCAGTCCCCATTTTACCTCTTTTTAGAAACAGAATTGTACATAAAATCTTGTCAATTTTGAATTCTAGTCAATTACATTTGGATAGTGACACATAATGTGAACACAGGATTTAGTAATGTCAAAGCAAGAGGTCCTCATTTCATCTTGTTTTCAGGGACGTGTAATGGGCTTAAGAAGAAAGGACATGGTCATAGAAGGCCTTAATCAGATTTATCAATTTTTATAGCCAAATTGCCACTTTCAGGGAGATATTTTCTGTCAAGGGGAATGAGAATTGACTTTGCAAGTATATCCCTTGATAGTTCTGTTTTATTCCCTGACTTTCCTGTGAGAGCCTTGAGATTGTTAAAAAGAAATCAGAGAAAACCACTCTCAAGCAACATCTCAGCTATATAGATTTATGGAGATGTTCTTCTGGCACTTGAGGAGGCTGGAGTTGTGTTTTCTCCTCTCTGGGTTGGAGGGGGAGGACAGTGGGAATAAATGAATGACTTCTCACTGTCGATTTTTAACTTTGAATCTGCAAATACACTCTTGTGGCCCCACAGTTTAGAGAAAGTATTGCTACCACTCTTCATGTTAGTATTGCTAACACTCACTTTCACATTCACCTTTTGCTTAGGAAAGATTTCTTTTGTTTTATTTAATGGAAACTAAAATGATTTTAGTGCATCGGAAGGAGATATTAGTAAATTAGTAAATGCATACCCCATGTTTATGAGACTTCATACTTTCCTACCACATTTTGGTTAAGTTATATTTAGTATCCGAATTTGTGGCAACCTGTGCAGAAAACTACATGTAATATTGCCTATTTAGAGTCAATGTTCTCCTTCCCAGAAGTGGTGGAATCCACTCTGTCTGTCTGTCTATCTATCTATCTATCTATCTATCTATCTATCTATCTATCTATCTAATCATTTATCCATCCATCCACACACACGTGAATATGTGTATTGGTGATCATTAAATACATTAGTTATACAGAATTGAATGAATATAAACTTTGAAATTCTTAATAAATCAAAGAATCCTGTTTTCAGACTTGTTATATAAACCAGAATTATTATTACTATTATTATTTTGAATTGGAGTCTCACTCTGTCACCCAGACTGGAGTGAAGTGGCCACTCCCGGCCACCGCAACCTCAACCTGCTGGGCTCCGGCGATCCTTCCGCCTCAGCCTTCCGAGTAGCTGGAACTACAGGCGTGCGCTACCACGCCTGGCTAATTTTTTGATTTATTGTAGACATGAGGTCTCGCTGCCCAGGCGGGTCTCGAACCCGCGGGCTCAGGCAATCCACTCACCTCAGCCTCCCAAAGGCGTGGGATTACAGGCTGAGCCACCGAGCCCGGCCAGAATTATTTTTTTAAATGAAAAATATACCAAACCCACGTAGAAAACACCAAAAAAGTTGTATGAAAGCATCTGGGCAGTGAGTGGGTGTAAGGCGGAACATTCTCAAGTATTGTTTGGTCTTGAGAAGGCATCAGCAATATTGATTATGGGGATTCAAATTTTTTGCTGGGTAGTAAAGATTATTAGTATGGTTGATTCTAAGTTCTTCAGAAAATTGCTAATCGTTGGATTGACTTATGAGAAGACAATAGAAGGCCTTTCTCTTTCAGCCATCACTGAGCAACTGATACTGGAATTGCCTTCCTGCCATTAACAACTAGGAAATAGATAAAAATACGTGACTGAAAAAAAAAAAAAGATTGCAACTAAAATAATGCTAAAATAGAAGACTCTTAAAATCAAACCTAAAACCAGATACATCTCATGGAAATTGATGGTTTCTACCCACTCTATATGGAGGTGGAAATAATATAAAGAAATACTTTTCTTAGAGAATATGTCATTGTCATGGAATGAGAGGAAAGAATGAATGAGGTCAGAAAAACTGGAAATACTGTTATCCACTTTGCAGAGGGAATCACTTAAAAACAAATTTTTAACTTTTTAAAAATTTCATTTTAGATAGACTTTTTAGTGAGCAACAATAAAAAAGTATACTTATTTAATATTTAATAGTTGTGGTATAAATAATTATAATACTTATTAATACTTATGGTAATAGTCGGGATGACATACTTTAGTAATTTCCTTTGAGAATTATATAAAAAATATTCTCTAATATTAATAGGTTTTTAAAATTTAAAATGTTTATACAAACAGACATTCTTAGAAAGAATTGGCTTAAATAGTTATCCTCAGCAAGATTTTTCATAGGCTTTAATAAGCTTCAATGTTTCATAGCTTATCAAACAGGTATACATACATATTACATGCAAAAAATTCAAACATTTGATTTCAGCTCCCTCTTACTAGAAGAATCTCCTGGGGTGGTGATTTATCAAATATACTTTAGGAAATGTCATTTTAGAATATACCTTATATAATTAAAAATTTGGGAAATTACTCATAATATCTCAAATATAATCATTTTTATGGAACTGCAAACAAAATCCTTCAACTTGCTGTGCAGTTTGGTGTGCAGTTAAAAAAAAATAGGCCGGGCTCGGTGGCTCAGGCTGTAATCCCAGCACTTTGGGAGGCCAAGGTGAGTGGATTACCTGAACCTGCGTGTTCCAGACCAGCCCAGGCAACTTGGTGAGACCTCATCTCTACAATAAATAAAAAATTAACTGGGCGTAGTAGCGCGGACTTGTAGTTTCAGTTACTTGGAAAACTGAGGCAGAAGGATCACCTGAGCCCAGCAAGTTGAGGCTGTGGTGGCTGTGAGCTTGATACTACACTCCAGCCTGGGTGACAGAGTGAGACTCCAACTCAAAATAAATAGATAGATAGATAGATAGATAGATAGATAGATAGATAGATAGATAGAGATAGATAGACAGATAAAGTCTTCAGAAATAATCCCAGTAGTTGTGTTATATAATGATTTTAATCATTGAAGCTCTTATTTTTCTAAAAGTCATTTAGAATAACATGAGACTTTCCAAATAGTATTCAATCTGATATTTAAATCTACACATCCAAAAACTTAATTCTACTATTTATTGTTTGGCCAACAAAATGTTAGGCTCAAATATTACTTATATATTTATTATTATATGCAATTATGCATTTTTTAAATATTGTCCTCCTTGGTGAACTATGTGTCCGTTCTTTAAATACTGTATAAATAATAATATTATTTCTTTTTATTCTGATTTTTTTTAGGGCTTTTGTTTTTGATAAAGCAAGAAAACGATGCCTCTGGTTTCCTTTCAATAGCATGTCAAGTGGAGTGAAAAAAGAATTTGGCCATGAATTTGACCTCTATGAAAACAAAGGTAACTGACTTCTCCCTAAATATTGCATAATATATGTTTGTAATTTCCTGCCATGGTACTCTTGCTCACTAATTTTTCTGTTATATTCTGGATCTGTTATGCAATCAGTTCATTCATTACGACACATGAAACCACTACTTTGATTATTTTTACTATGGTATTATAAAGAGAGCTTTTCCCAAACTTTCCATAATGTGGATTCCGCCTTCCCTTTTTGTACTTTTTTAAGAGCATCTCCTAGAACTCACATTCTCCTTGTTCATTTTAGAAAGTGCCACCACAAGTTATTAGTTTAAAGCACTTTATTATACTTTGTCACATCTGGAGTTTACCACAGTATTTTACATTATAACAATGTTGAATAGCTAACCTAAGTTATAGTGGTGATTACTGATAATAACAAAACGTGGAGATTTTGGAAAAGTGAGTTGGATTTATATTTAATCATATACTTGAAAAAGTCTTTAAAGGAGGAATTAAGATCATATTACTTGTTAATTGTCTATTCTGGTGGAGTGATATGCTTACAAGGTATTTACATTGCTCAAAAGAAGAATTAGATAAATTAAATAATTGAAGAATGTTAAATAAATACGAACTTTACAAGCTAAATGTCTCATAACACAAAATAATACTTACGGATTATTCTTATGAAAATAATTTATTACAATCTTAGTTTTTTTTAATTATACTAAGTCTTATTAAATTTAGATGTGGTATTTGGCACTATACACAGATGTTTTCATGTTCATAGGGTAAAGGTTTAAATAAAACAAATTTGTGGCAGAAAATAAGATTATCTCTATACAGTTCAATAATTCTACAAATCCCAAATATGATTCATGGTCTAATAGAAGAACACTATTACTTCACTTTTTCTTCTAGCTTGCTAATAACTGCATGTTTTATTATTTTAATTCCTGTGTATCAGGACAAGAAGGGCTTTCCTGTCAATCCATCTCAGACCTCTCTTGTCACTTATAAATAGAACTATATATAGAACTATATATATTTATAGTTTGATTGTCCTATAATTTAGTGGCTGAAATATTTGCAAAAATGTAGACAATAATAATCAACCTACTATAGTATTCTCATACATGTACATATATATATGTATATATATATATACAAAAACCCACACAATTTTACTAAGATGAAGAAATACAAATTAGCTAATGTTATTCTCTGATATAACTTTCTGAATTCAGTATAGGTTTTAAAAACACTTTTATTTCTGTTTTTGTTTTGAAATTGTGTTTTACTTTGTCAGCCAGGCTGGAGTGCAGTGGCACAACCGCAGCTCACCACAGCTTCAAACTCTTGGGCTCAAGCTATCCTCCTCAGCCTCCCGAGTAGCTGGAACTACAGGCACACAAGCCCAGCTAATTTTTCTTTTCTTTTCTTTTCTTTTTTCTTAGTAGAGATGGAGTCTCACTTTGTTGCCCAGGCTGGTCTCAGACTTCTGGCTTTAAGCAGTTCCCTGGCCTTGACCTTCCAAAATACCGGAATTACAGGCGTGAGCCACTGTGCCTAGTCAAATTTTTGTTTTTAATATTTTCTCACAGTGGTCTATATATATGAGCAGATCACAGTTGCCTGACCAGTTGTGCATATAGACTAATCTATATTGAACACAGAGACTAATCTTTGTAGTTATTCATGCATATACACACAAAATTAAAACTTCTCAGTAGTCTGTTTGTTTTGGATTATTCTGAAATGTGTTATTTTGAAAATACTAGTATAAGCTTTAGGCAAGAAATTTCAAAGTTATTTGAAATAGTTTACAGAAGTTAATTATTTGCAGGTTTGAATGGAATTTTATTTTTTCTCTTCTACAGCAGCATTTAATCTCTAAATACAGCATAAGCTTTGCATGGTTACAACATTTTTCTCTGCTTTCTTTCACAGACTACATAAGAAATTGCATCATTGGTAAAGGAGGCAGCTACAAGGGAACAGTGTCTATCACTAAGAGTGGCATCAAATGCCAGCCCTGGAGTTCCATGATACCACATGAACACAGGTAAGAACAGTATGAAGAAAAGAGGGTGAAGCCTCTAATTATTTATATGTGTTAACATTCTCACATTAGTCCTTCAGAACAATTCCACAGTTCTATAAAAACTTAACCAACTTTGCTGAACAGTATTAGGACCAAGTTTATGTGAATTTATGACTGATATTTAGCAAAAGACTAATACATTTATCAATAAAATGTGACCTAATACTATCTTCCCTCAATTTGTTGATCATGATGTTTGTGAAGAAATAATATAAACTTCATTAAAAAGAGAATATTTTTCCTTCCTCTTTTTGTTTCTGAGAAAGTACAGCACTATGCAGCTGGAGAAGTTGACTATGAAAAATCAAAAGTAGATCAGATTGTTACCTTACTGAGGGATGAGTGTTCTTTAACCTTGGTGAATCTCAGTTTTGGCTGCACATTAAAATCACCTGCTGCAAGCCCTTGAAGCATCCTACCATCCAGATGGCGACACAGACCAATTAAATCAGAATCTCTGGGGGGCACTCAGGCACCAGTGTCATTTTAAGCTCCCCAGATGATATCAAAGTACAGCCAAAGTTGGGAACCACTGCTGAAAGCTCGTGTCTCAGATCGACAAGCTTCCAATTTCACCTATTGCCTAAAGATTAGAGAAATTTCTCATTCCTTGGAAATGAAATGTCTACACAGAATAGGAGAATTGTGTTCATTGTAACAGATGAACACTATTTAAAGATGAACAAGCATAATATCCATAGGCTCATTAGACTGAGATTGTATTCATCATGGAGGAAAAATGTAGATATCTTAAACCTACTGGAGCACTAAGTACAGCCACAATTTTCAAGACTTGCTCCACAATTAATTTTAACAAAAACTAAAGTGGTTTAAAACAGCTCTCCCTTGGGTAATAAATGCATTGGAAGACTTAGTTTGCTATGTGCCATTACCTTGCTAAGCAATTTACGTGTTTTTTTTTCATTTACTCTTCACAAGAACCACAGAGTGGGTAGTTTTATTAATTCCACTTTATATGCATAGTGAAACTGAAGCACAAAGAACCTTAGTAAGTTCCAGTGTCATGTACAGCTGGGAAGTGGCATCACCAGAATGTAAGTCCAGGTGCCATCTGTCTATAATCTGTGCTTTTCACAACCTCAGGGTGTGAGGCACTTGGCCTATTGGTAAGACTCATGCTGTGACTGTTTTGCAATGGTTGTGATGACTGTTTGATGGATTCACTTCTTATTCCATCCTATTTTGAGGGGCATAATTTTGCAAGACGATTTTACATTAATAAACAGAGATGCATTAATTGACCAACATTTAAAGAAAAAGAGTTAGTTGCTCAATACTAGGATCAAACCAGTGATCTTAACTTAATTAACTCCAGCTAGTAAGTGTCCAGACTGATCAGCTCTGCAGCATTTCAATAACAAAAAACAACAATTTCCACAAATTGCTTACTTACAATTTGGTAGGAATACCTCTGGAACATAGTATTACAAAAACAAACGACATGATTGGTTTTATCCCCTCTTAAGAGTTTGCATGGTGTCACTTCATGCATAGTGAGGAAAAGATTTTATTTAAATAGATGGAGTAAGTTTTTCATGAACAAAAGGATAACATTTGAAATCAATCCTTCACTAGTCCAGGAGAATGCTCTGGACTGACCTAGTACAGGTCTTATTTCACTCCAACTTCTCTATGATTGTGATTCTCTGCTAGAGGAATAAAGGTGAAATAGATCTCCCTGGGAACTGGCTTCCCAGTTCAATCAGCTATTTTACCAGTGAACACTTCCTCGTGATATAGATGTTTATGACTGAGAGGATCTAGTATATTGGTCAAATTCTTGTTTTGTATTCATCAAGAACAACACTTAATTTTCATCAACTAGCAGCTTATTGGAATTATCTGCATGTTAGATTAACACTTTTATGCTATGTTGACCAAAGATTAATTTTTTGGGAAGTGGAAAAATAAATATGTTTCTGTCTGGAGGGTTGATTTATTGTTGACTCCCTACATTGAAATATTTTACAAGTGGCTTAATGAAAAGATGATGATTGATGATGCAATTAGTATAGAAGCTTAACCAGAAAATCAGGTGACCTGATATCTACATCTATATCCTTCATTGGCCACCCAGCATTCATTAATGAATCAGATGATGGAATAGATCAAATATCCTATAAACACAGTTAATATTAAAAGAAAAGAAAGGGAGGTTAGCACCCAGAAGACCTAGTTCATATTTCAAAGTATATTTGGATATAACCCAATTTTAACTATTTCTTTACTTACCTCTCTTAAAGTCTTGTTAGCAGCAAGGACAGAGTGTCAAAGTTAGTGCATATATGAATAAATGCTTATTACGCAGCTTTCTGACTGGCACAGGCCTTGGGTGTCATAGGTTCCCATAAACATTTGTTGAATGAATGCATATAAATGACAGAGCAGGGCTGGCTTCATCCCTTGGTTAATGATGGCATGCTAAAATAAGCAGGCAAAATGCCTCGGGACATAAAAAGAAAACCAGTTAATTTAGATACAAGGTAAAATACACCAAAGAATGAAGAAGTGAATTGATCCAGACTGCTCTTTAACCTCCACATCCTAGAGAGGAATTTGATATGGATTGATTCAGTATTGTCAAAGGAAGCCCATCTTTTCTCATTTTTTATTTTATTAATTACAGTGGGGAACTTTATTTTTTGGCCATATCTACTTTTGATTTTTACTTTATCTCTCTTCCTTTTTACTGTTTTTTTCCTAATAAATTGTTGACTGATTCATTCACTACTTCTTCACAGCTTCTTTGGGCTTCACAGATCATCAGGAAATGTATATGTGTGTGTATTTACCTGTGTGTGCAGGTACAAAAATCTTCTCTAAAACTATAGATATTGAATATGTGAGTATTGAACATGTGCTAAGATCACTAGGTTTCTTAAGCAATCTTAATACATAAAATGACACAGAAAAAGGGAACTTAATCTGGTTCACCAAGAAAGGGATTGCCAATAGTGGGAAACTGCCAAGGGGTGGGTTGGTGGGTGGGTAGGCACACCTCATCAATAAGGGTACTAGATCTCAAACCAGGAGAGGTGGGGACCAAAGTGAGGCCCAAACTTTTCCTGGACCATTTGTATACCTAACCCATGAATTGTACCCTATATCTTTAAAATAAAAACACAAAAAAATCTAATTCATTCATCTTATAAATGAAGAAATTGAAACCCAGAGAGGTAAATAAATTGTCTAAGGACTAATTTCATATAGTATTTGGGTGTTGTACAGTATATGGGAAAACAATGTAGGTTTTTATGGTTATTGTTAATCATAATAACTTCTTCCCACTCTACTATACCACTACACCTAGCTTTTTCACAAAATAGAGTTGCAGTGGATTTTTCCAAAATAGATTTGATGGGAGCTTTACTATTTATAAAATATATAAAGTAGAAGTCACTTTTATTTCTGTCAGAAAAGTGTGCATTTTTATATAAATTTACTATAAAAATTGGAGAAGTGTCAAAAAAGAAATAAAGTAAAATTTAAAGCAGTGGCACAAACAAGAGATACATTCAAATATTCTGAAATGCTGGAGTTAAAACTAAGAAAAATGACTTATTTTCTTGAAAATTAGTTATGAATTTGTGAAATTATGACAAACTTTAATTGCATTATAGTTTTTGTAAGTCATATAACCTAATGTCATATGTTTGTTTCCCCATATTTAAAATGCTACTGTAGTAAGGATATAAATTTTTAATCTAAAGATGCTTTGGAGTTGCATATTGTTCATAATAATATTTAATTGGTTCCTTGAAAATGTTTAGTTGGCAGTAAGTTCTTAGAATATCCTGTTTTTGATCAATAATTTATATTTTCTGAGGACTTAACTCTGGTGTAAATTCATGTCAAAATGAAAGAACTTTTTTGCAAAATGTTGCTTGGTACCTGATACACGTCTGCATTTGTTTTGTGTCACAACATGAAAAATGATGTTTTTTCAATTAGAAGTTTCAATGGTTAGGGAATACATTTGAATGGTATTTACTAAGAGACTAAAATCCTTGGGCCTCACTCTAATTTAAGTGCCATGTAGAACTCAAGAGATCAATAAAAGTAGAAATAAACATTTTTAGCAAAATCTGAATTCCATATTAAAAGTATAACTGGATTATAAAATGTTTGCTAGTGTTATCTACAGATTTTTATTCTTTATTATGATCTTTCATGTGCAGTCTAACAGACAAATGTAGAATCTAACTGTTGAGTCCAATAACACAAGCAATGCAAAAGAATGTACAAAAACGTGCTCAGTCTTTTCTGATGCGTTGAAATGCTTGTCTTAGCAACAAAACTGTAAGTCGGGCATTAGAAATTTTAAGTGAAGGTAACGTATTACAGTTATCACACCCGACATACTACTATTGTAAAGTAAAACTTGGAGTATCAAGCCTTAGTCAGTCAAAATTATTGAAGAGAATAAGCAGTTCTCTTCTGTAGTAGTGCTTAATAAGAAGTAGCATTTGTTAAGTGTCACTTGCTCTATCATCTCCTTGAACTTCTCAGAACAACCTTATGTGGTGTAACATGTTTATAGGTTATGATTGTATTCTGTGTACAGGCAAGTTAATAGGCTGAGAGGTGAAATTGCTTGCTGGATCACAGTAAGAGAAAGCTGACATTTGAGTACAGGTTTAATTTGATTCTGGACCCTTTGTTCGTGTTACTTCGGCAATCTGTTTCTCAATTGTGTAGAACAAAAGGGGGTTATTTTTTCATAAGAAAAGCAATAAATAAACAAGTAATGATCTTGAATAAGCAATGTAATAAATGGTGAGATTTCAAAGTCAGCTGCAGTGTTTTCTCAGTTCTCTCCTAAGTGGCCTTGCTTAATCACTGGCTACCTTGGAGTGGAGTTTTGAAATTGTGCTTCCAACAACATAAATTAAGTTCTAGAATGTTTGGCTCTTAGCAAATCAAGAGGCGACTCTTTCTAACTTTATGTCAAATATGAAAATTCAGTTAAATGGATGTTGATAAAATTCATGTATTTTAAGAATGTATAGAAATGACAGAATTTAAGTTAAAATGTATGAAAGTTTATGAGCTAGATTAATTTCTTTACTTTCAGGAAAAACATACCCATAGTTAAGTAAAGTTAATAGGCCAAAAATGAAGTTGCATGCTCTTATACTGTAATGATTATCATTTTAAAACTAGCTTTTTGCCTTCGAGCTATCGGGGTAAAGACCTACAGGAAAACTACTGTCGAAATCCTCGAGGGGAAGAAGGGGGACCGTGGTGTTTCACAAGCAATCCAGAGGTACGCTACGAAGTCTGTGACATTCCTCAGTGTTCAGAAGGTAAATGAACCTGAATGCCATGTGGGGCATTCTATTCCCCCTATGTGTAGAACTGTAATTCACATTAAAGGTTCACAGAAACAAAGCAACCTCAGTGACTATGTTGTTCATTCAAATGCAACTATAGATAATTATTTGAGCATTTTTACACAATGTCTTAACTATCTGATTATCACCATATTCATGCAAAATAAAGGAACAAGTTCTCAATCTGAATTTCAATACAACTTGAGACATCTCTCTGGAAAGAGTGAAAGTGGGCTTACTTACTTACAGTCTTGAGCTCACATATCTCAAAATTCTGCTCTCATACAGCACCTGAAAGGAGCGGAAGGAAACTTAGACTTTTATTAGTAATGCTAATTCTATTCATCCAGTACTGGCTTCCACAGAAATTTTCTCAAAACTACTCTGATGTGGTGTGACCAGGGTATATGGACCCAGAAGAGAATACAGTATAAAAGGGAACACTGGAAGCTTGACTCCCACTGTGTGTGCATTTTGTTGAAAATGTACCTAGAACCAAATTTGACACATAAACTGGAAAAGAGTACTATTCATAATAGAATCTGAAGAGATCAAAGCAATGGATACTGAGCTGTCTTGAAGGCAGGCACTTTAAATCCATGTCTGTATTTTTACCTCTTCTCACAGCATAAAAGGGCATTGTTCTTACTTTTGCAGTGGAAAACTGAATGACTGACAAGATGGAAGAGTAACCATTTCAGCATTGTGTGTGGTTTCATTTGTCTTAGTTATCTGGCTACTGAATAGTTGGGCTTTTCAGTTTTGTCAGAAACTCTAAATTTCCAAAAATTCAAGTGAAACATGAATTAAATTCTGTTAGAAATTTATTAGGATTTTGAAATATTTGGGGAGGGGTATTGATGGAATGCTGTCCAAGTTTTATAGCAAGATAGCTTACCTGTTTGTTATTAACCAAATATTTTAAAAAAGATTTCTTCCACAAATATCCACTTAATATTAGGTTGATATTTATCACATGAAAAATAAAGGCCATTGTTAGCTAATTGTCACAAAGAAGGATTTGTTTTCTGTTGTTAGTTAATTTATAATCCTTGACTTTATGTGCTAGAGCCAATTCCATCTGTTTGTAAATTCTTATTTTCCATTCCATATATTCTGTGCCCTATAACTTCTTCGTTGTTTTCTTTTCTTTTAAAAATAATAAACTTATCTCTGATAACGTTATGAACAAGTCTGTTTTGTATGAATAAGCCTATAACTCATAATTGTTTTAAATTTGCACATAGAACCCTACTCTTAGGGGAATCTCTGCTGTCACAGTTTTCAGATGTTGAAAATAATTGGCAAGGAGTTTGCTTATTGGTTTTGTTTGACTTGACAAAGTGTTTCCAAAGGCAGGTAACTTGGTCAAACTGAAACAGCTTAGCATATATGTTACCTGCCTGATCACTGTGAGAATGTGATTTTTTTTTTACCTCCTGGCTTATAAGAAGTACCTTCATCAAAATAGACTAACATAGATCTGAACTGACAGGTGTCATAGATTCAAAGTGTTATAAAAGAAGTAAATTTTTAAAAATCCTGTTTCCAGTTATCCTTATCTCATTGGAATAACTCTTTAATATCCTTAAATAATTTGAGGCCTTCACACCTCCCTTAGAAAAAGGCATTGCTTATTGGTATTAGTGACACGCGATGCTGTTGATCACTGGCACTAAAGGTTACAGATATGCTCTTTCTAGAAACAATTAGAGGCCTGGCAATGGTGGAATAACCCTCCTGTGGGAGAACAGAGCCATCACCTGCCCTGTAGGTTAAACACATTTCAGGGAGTGTGAGTTGACCTGTGGTATTTTAAATTCAAGCTAACATGAGCAGTGCTTTAGCAGGATTTTAATGAAAAAGAGCTGAAATAAGATGCATTGCCAAAAGCAGTAATAGAGAAAAACAGTGTTATTTATAACATGGATAATATAAAATTTATGAAATAATGTAGATATGATATAAATTTTTACCAAAATACATATAGGAGAGAGAAACCTCAAAATCCAGAATGCTTAAATAGTATGATAGATGGGCCATTTATATCCATGAATATTAATTAAATGGCAAGTTATAAAGGTCACAACATTATGGTGAGGTAGTAATTATAAAATCATTTTGAATATTTAGAATTAAGCAAGGAAAATACCTGTGGTCAAATTATGTATTATTCAGTTGAAAAAGATATGTGGAACAATATGTATTTTTTGAAATTTTTGTAACTACATTAAAATCTTGGCTAAATAATCATCTGAAATTTGTCTAAAATTTTGGTTCATAAAATAATGGTATTTGATATTCATAACATTATTTTCTGACAATTAAAAACATTAAAATATGTTAATTATTCCAAAAGAGAGTGAAGAATCTTTTACATTTAACTCCTTTTAGTTAGATAAGAGGAATAAATTCTTGAAATCTATTGTACAAATGGTGGCTATAGTTAATAGCAATACTTTGTATTCTTGCAACATGCCAAAAGACTGAATGTAAAGTGTCTTCATCACAAAAATCATGAGTATGTGAGATGATGCATATGTTAATTAGCTAGATTTAGTCAATCTACAATGTATATATACTTCAAAACATCATGTCGTACATAATAAATGTGTCCAATTGTATCTGCTAATAAAAAAGAAACTTACATAATTATGGAAAGAAAATACTACTAATTAATGCTTAATTCAAGCGTTATGGAGAGCTGAGGTGTGTAAAATAAATTCTTCCTTTAGTATTCATTTGCTTGGGATTTAAAACAAAGCAATTATTAGTCATTGGAACAGATGTCATTTTCCATGACTGTCAAATATTCAAGTAAATAACTTTTAATTAAGCCATAATTATTATTTTTTGAATATGTTATACTTAAAATTCCAAATAATAGTGACATAAGTTCATGCGTATAATTACCTATGCTATATGAAGAAAAACTTTTAAAACCAAAGATGTAATAAAACTATTATTTATGAATGTGAATTTGTGAGACTTTTCATATTGTAAACATTCAGTTTTGCTGAAGTAATCACCTGCACAAATTTTTCTGAGCGATTACCTTTACTGGAATAAGTAAACACTGATTAAAAATAGATTCAGATACTTTAAAAATATTTATTTTAGTCACATCATTTGCAGTTATATGATTAAGAAAAATGGAACTCAATTTTTGAGTTTGGTTAGTTAGTGTGATGAGAAGATGTTAAATTAATCTTACTTAATATAAGTAGTTTATATGTAGTTTTTGCAGTTTTCTACTATTGTTTATTCCAGAACTATTCTTTAAAAAAATAATGTGAACAGATGCTATTACTCAGTTTGAGTTTTATGGTCTAGGGCAATTTTTTTTTTTTTTTTTGAGAGAAAAACTTGCAGGAATGGTTACATAGCGCACTGGCAATAACAGAGAGAGCTAACAGGGCATCACCCTCTGGCACTGTTACATAGTTCATACCTTCCCCTGTTTTCTTGAGTAGGTGAACTTGGTTTTCACCTGAACTGCTTGACACTGAGCTAGGAAAATTTGGAAGTCTGAGAATTCCAGAAGTTTAAAAGGTGAATATGAGTTCAAAGTTTGACTTTCTTGAGGTAATTTTTATGGCTAACTTGATGGTTTGATTCAATAGCAAAATAACCAACTTTTCAGCTATTGACCTTGGGTAAGATGGGAAATTTAGTTGCTTTCCCATAACTTTCTTTACCCCGTCCTCCAGTGGGTAAGACTCCAACAGGAGAGTAATTTATTGTTGCAAACAAGAAGGCGGGGGGTCATGGGGACAATGTTGAAAAAGGCAGGGCATTAATTTTCTAAAACCATTGCTTTCAGTCTACCGTAAAGTGCAACCAGTTAGAATGTGTAGGAAATAATATGTAGAGTAAAAATGCAGTTTGGGATAATGCAAACGATACTAGACTATAGGCCAGAAGACTTGTGTTCCAGACACAAGTTTGATGTTTTCTGTTTGGGTAAGTCCCTTAAAACTTTTGTGAGCCTTGTTTTCCTCACTGTGAGAATTGAATAGCATCTTATTAAAATATGAAATAAAATGTAGAGTAAAAATGCAGTTTGGGATAATGCAAACGATACTAGACTATAGGCCAGAAGACTTGTGTTCCAGACACAAGTTTGATGTTTTCTGTTTGGGTAAGTCCCTTAAAACTTTTGTGAGCCTTGTTTTCCTCACTGTGAGAATTGAATAGCATCTTATTAAAATATGAAATAAATCATCAAAGTATATGTAACTATAATATATTTAAGTACCTCAGTTCTTTCACAAGACGTGTATAAACTCACCCTATCAATAACTTCTATAGCTTTCTAAAATTTAACATCATTCTTGCTAACTTTTATTTATTTATTTTTATTTCATGACACCCACAACTGCATCTGTAACTCTCTCTTCACTTTAATACAAACATAACATACAATTTATGTTGTGTGTTATTTTGTTCCTTTATAACTTATCCAACTCTCATCCATTCTTCAAAGTTCAAGTAAAATTCAGTCTCTTCAAAAAAAAAAATGTTGTTACTACGCAACACTTAGAACTTTCAGAATAGTCCACATTATCTACAAACTTACTACCAGCAGCATCAGCCTCTTTTGGAAGCTTGTTTTTTTATTAGTGCTCCAGCCCAGATCCAATGAATCAGAATTTGTCTTTTAACAATATCTCAAGGCAATGTTTATGCAGATGTTTATGAATAAACACTCATACTGGAAAATCAGCATCTTATTCAATCACTATTTCAGTTATGTAGCTCTTTTTTCTTAAGACCATTAAAATCTCTAAGTCAGGAAAAGAATGTAGTATAGCAATGCTCATTGTACTGCTTCCTAGAAAATAATTTTAGTCACCCTCATTGGAAAGGGATATACTATTACAAACTGCATTTGCTGAAGGAGATGTATTAGATACATTATATTTACTGAATTCTATGCAAAGAAAGAAATTGTATATGTGAATAGTTGTATGTGTGATGCAGTATTTTATTCAATTTTATGATTCAATACAAAGGAGCAAGCAACAGTGATGAATCCTGCATTTTCTTTGAAGATTTCAATCCTTATACTCTTTTAAAAAGAGAACTAAATAAATCTGGACCCTATTCAAATGGAAAGCTGAAATGTCATGATGCAAAACCTATGTTGAGCACTTCAATGTAGAAATTACCTGAAAACTTTTATTCGTATGCTCTTGAATGCCTTTCATTTACAGTTCAAGTGCTTATTGACTGTAGTTCTGGGTAATCTCAGTATCAAATGATGGGAGGCTTGAGTTGGTCCCCTATTTTAGTTCATGCACATTTAATTTAGTGCATGAAAGGAAGTAAATGGATCAAGACAAATGATCACATGTTTCAGAAAGTTAATAGCTAATGTTTTATTAGGTTGTAAGAATCAAAGACTGAAAAGTGATGATTCTAATAATACATCTCAAATCACTACTAACATTCATTAGGGTAGAGTCCAATGGATAAAACTCAACATTAATGTCTCTTCCCACTTCAACCAAAGTTAGGTTATCAGTAATTGCCAGACACAAATGATGTGTTTGGGAAAGTTTGCTGAATTCATAGGAAAGCCAAGCAATGATTTATTCCGCAGGATACTTTCTGTGCTACAAATCAATCTATATGTTTGAGAAGTCTCATTTTCAGCTAGTTCATGCGATTCAGAGTTTTTGGTGTGAATTAAGACTCCAGCCAGAAAAGAACAGTGAATTGACCTTACAGAATCATCAGTAAGATCCTGCATAATTCGATCAGCTTATACATTTTACAAAGAGTGGGTATGTGGAGTTCAATAGCGGGTTATTTTAGGAATGTAAGCCTGTCTAGCCTATTCAAAAAGGATGTTCGCTAAGAAAAAGAAGCTGTGATTTAAAAAAAAAAAAATCTCTGTCATTTGAATTGTAACAGATTTCTTTTTTATTTTTTTGGGGGGGTGTTTCACTTTTATATTTAATTGTTTAAAGTACATTTAGACCAGTCGTTCTGGGGACTCTTCATCGTCTGAGTTCCAAACTCTGTATTTTCTGTTGCTGTCTTCTCAGTAATTGTACCAGAATTTCTATCTGAAGTCAGTCTCTTAAATCTGTGTAGTCCTGATTATGGCACTAACTGTAGAAGTATGACTTGAACTCAATGTAAATTGCATAATTCCTGTATATTTGGAGGGCAAATCAAGAGAGGAACACTATTGTGCTGACAATATAGATACCGTGATCTTTGCGTTTTAGACCAACACAGAATCCCCCCCCCCCAGGTCTATCTTATACTTCAGTTTCTAGATATCTTTCAGACAGTTCTTGAAATATTAAATAGGCAGTATCTTGACCCTATGACAGATCTATATGAAACTAATGGCAAAATTCGTGTTTCAACTATATGAAGAATTCTGTAGAGGGTAATTTATGCTACTATTTATGGACATTAGGCCCTAATTTAAAACTAGAATGGTGTGTAGGAGTTTCTAAAAATCTGTTTGCTAAACAGGTGCTATTCTTTAAATGGAAGAGTGGTGTTTTTCATTTTGCTGTCAGAAACAATTAACGTGCCATACTTTAATTTTATTAGTTGAATGCATGACCTGCAATGGGGAAAGTTATCGAGGTCCTATGGATCATACAGAATCAGGCAAGATTTGTCAGCGTTGGGATCACCAGTCACCACACCGGCACAAATTCTTGCCCGAAAGGTAAAATATTCATGAGTCATGCTTCCAGTGATTCTTTTTACAAACTGTTATTTGCTTTATGACACACTGCCATGGAAATTCTCTCTGCATAATGTATTTCTGATAGTGTATGGACATAAAATTCAGAACTTAAGTGTTCAGGATTTTTCTGACAGAACAGCTGGCCATTGTGTTTGGAGGAAGTCATCTTAAGGCAAAACGATTTATCATGAGGTGTATGAGAACACTGACTACACCTACAACTGGTCAGAGTTCCTAAAATCAGGATGCTCCCAAACACAGGACCATCCATGGAGTACAGAGTAGAAGCACTAACAGAAGCTTCTTCTCAAGGTAAAAAACAAGCAACAAAACACAACAACAGAGCCAATTCAGTAATGACCACTTTGACAAGCCTGAACTGTGAGTTTGAGGTCTAATAACCAATGTGAACAAATCTTCCAGAGCAGCAATCTTCAGACTCAGGGATTGTAGGTCACGTGTGACACTATGACCTAGGTAATGCTTACAGAAAGGGAATGAGAGGTACACCAAATCATTCTTTTGTTGCTCTGCCATGGTATATTTTGAAATTGCCAGTATGAAGAGCCAATTTGAACAGCCAAATTGGAGAATTTGGCACCGAAGTCTACCTTTTCTCCCCAGGACTAGGACTTGGGCTTGAAAAGTTGTAAAACAAAATTGTGTTTACGTTTACCCAGTCATCTTACAGGAAATTTTTCCATTAAAAAAAGGAAGAAATTTCTTTACTTTTATTATAAAGTATAAAAAGACAAATAATTACAGAGGAAACTTCATCCTCACCTATCTTTGAAAATTGTTTTAAGTGTTTTTTCTCCTTTTTTTGCTTGCTATGTTGTTTTAATTGAAATTAAAACTCTAGCCTATTTTTAAAATACTTGTCTTGTCTTTTAAGTAAAAGCAGAAGGGTTATGGTAGCAATTAAAACAAAGTCACCAATTCAGGACTCTGTTCATTTAAAGGGAGGTGGGGTGTGGAGAAAGTGGTGTGATGGAGTTTGTCTCTTGCTCTGGTGGAGGCGAGGGCATGACCTAGAAAGTCTCTATTTCCAAAATTGAGCTGTCATTAGTAACAGACCTATTGAAACCGAACTTTCAGTTTGAACTTTAAGCCTGCCAGAGAAGAGGACCTGTTTTCTTAATGAGCATTCTATGCGAGGTTATGTTTGTGTAATCGGTCCTTAATGGGGTTCCATAAGAAACAGATTCAGATTGGAACCTCAACTGGGAAGGTACCAAATAGGACCTAACTTATCAACAAAGGAGATGATGCTCTATATTCAGTGGGATGTGTATATTAATAAATTCAATGGTCAGTGACTAGCAGTACTTAACAAGGCAAAGCATAGAAAACCGCCTCTTGCCCCAGTTAGTTGTATACAACCTAGGTGGAAAGTTACTTTGTGAGCTGAGGGCTGGGTGGTGTTTCTAGGCAGATTTACGTGACACTTTTCTTGGTGTGGTTTGCAGATATTCCGACAAGGGCTTTGATGATAATTATTGCCGCAATCCTGATGGCAAGCCGAGGCCATGGTGCTATACTCTTGACCCTCACACCCGCTGGGAGTACTGTGCAATTAAAATGTGTGGTAAGTTAAGGTCAAATTTATTGCTTCCTTTTCCTCTCACAGACTGAATCTAAGCAGGCGATTATTAGTGAGAAAGGTTAACAACTATTTTACTTGATGCTTTAATGTGTGCAGGTTTTAATACTTTAAGAATGTGTTACGTAATCCTACCCAATCTTTTCAATTTTCAGCGACCCATATTTTGAAAGCATTAAATATGCAAGTGCACACGTTCATAGAAAACACTTATACTTATGGTGAGAGCCTAAACATTCCACTGTTATCAGGAAAAGGAAAAAAATCCACAGAGGAAAAATAAAATGAAAATATGTGCAACATCACAAAGCCATCACGACAGTAAAAACTGGGACCTTAGATCCTTACCTTCCAAGCCTATTTCCTTTTCCTACCTTTCCTCCTCAGACATGAGCTGTCAAATGATCGTGACCCTCTTCTGGTGAATGACAGAGTGAGGGATATTAAGTCTAAGATAAGTTTTTCACAGATGTCCGCTTTCTAGTAGCTGATCTTGACCTCTCTGGCTGGCCTTGTACCCAGCCTGCAATCTGTTTCAACCTATCTTTTCGTAGTCCCTACAATCCTTTTCTGTATGCTGCCTCTTACCCAACTTTCCTAAATTTATGATAAAAAGGCCACTTACTTGTTTTGTGGTGGTCCTTCAATCAGTATACCTGGTTCCTCTCCTCCATGGCTAACTCACTTATTTTCACTCTTATTTGAAATAATATTAAATAATGTTTTTATTTCTCAGAAAACAAGTCTTATTTTTCAACTGCATCTTAAAAATGCTTTAAAATCAATAGAATTGCAGGAATTTAGTCAAGTATAATAATGTTATAAGTTGGCTTGCTGGTAAGACTTTATATATATTTAAAGATAAATAATCCACATAAGATCAAATATCAACACCCAGAGTACCAGCACCCAGAGTAACATCTACAATTATGAGGACATGGATAGACTTTTGTGTATTTCCCTATAGCAACATGATGGGGATATTTATCTGAACAAACCTAATTCAACATTATCCACACTACTATGGTACTGCCAAGGTAAATCTCTCTCCATCTAGACCTGCTAATAAAAGGAAATATTTTGGACAATGCATATAAAGACCATAGACAGGGGATGTGCTTGGCATAAGTGAAATAACTGCAGAATTGGGAGGCTTTCAGAGGGAAACACAGTGTTCCAAGGAAATTGAATCATCTATTTTGTCCTTTAAAATAAAAGATGACTCCTGTTGATAGTGTTTCTCTGTATAGATTGGGTTAGTTCCATTCATTGACTTCTTTGATCTTATTAATCTTTCCATCATTCTAACCAGTTAAGTACAATAAGCCAACTGTTTCCCTTTCATTGTTTTCTGTGTTTTAGGTACTCTTATAAATCTTCTCTGAAATAGGACCAGTATAAACACACACACACACACTCTCTCTCTCTCACATATATACTCATCTGTGCATTCACTCTTCAACTGTCAAGCATATACCAAGAAATCCAAGTGTTTCCCTCCTCTTCAGTTCCAAACCAACCTTTGGGGTATTTTTTTTAAAAAGAGAGTTGGAAAGGCAATAAATAGAATGAATATGACACTTTCTAATTATTAAATAGATTTTTATCTTCTGTCCAAAGAGAATTTTCTAGATATGTAAGTAACATGCAATAATTCCAATGGCTTTGTTAAACAGTGGGCAGTGTTTATAGGATGTTAAATCTAAGAAAATGGTAGTAGAATTTCTGAGTCAAACTTATATTATTCAGGCTATAATAATTTTCTGAACTTTGGGACTATTTTAGAAATATTTTAGTAAAAGATAGCTTTTAATTTTAAAAATACATATACAATAGATAAGGCTCTAAATATGGCTATGAAGAGACTATACTTTTATTAAAGTAAATTAAATAAAGTTGACATTCTGGAAAACAAAAGAGATAATGTTCATAAATATTATTTCAAATGTTTTGACTTACATTTAGTAAAGCCTATAGTGTAAAACCAAGAATTTGGTGATGGTTTCAGTTGTGCATTAGCATTCTACTGTGGCATAGGAAATTACCAAAAAACATAGTGACTTACAAAAATACACATTTGTTATCTCATAGTTTCTGTGGGTCAGGAGTCCAGGCATAATTCAGATGCTCTCCTTTCATAGGGTCTTATAAGATCAAGGTGCCCACCAGACATGTGTTCTTATTTAAAACTTCATGTCATTTTTTGAGTTCGTTGGTTATTGACAGAACTGAAGTGTCTTGTGGTTGTAATTCTCCTAGAGATTGCCTGACGTTCTCTGACACATGACCCTCTCCATAGTATGACAGTGACAGGATACTACTCCAAGGGCAAGAGGATCCATCACTCTTGCTTTGAGCCTTTGACCCAGACCCTCTTTTAAAGAGCTGAGCTCATTAGATCAGTTATGCCTAAGCAAATCTCCCTTTTAATTAAGCTAATGTCAATTGATTAGGGACTTTAATGATGTCTGCAAAATCTCTTCACTTTTTTTGTATAACATAACCTAATCACAGGGTTGACTCATTGTATTCGAAAGTTTCATCCACACTCAAGGGCAGGGGATTATACAAAGTAGTGGGTGGGGATTTAGAGGGTTACGCATGCATTTACTTTAATGATTATAGAAGGTAATTGATTATCACTTTTAATTTGTGTCATTAAATTATCAGGCCATTTTTTCATTATCTCTTAATCCAGTCCAGCTGACTCTGGACTTGAAAATATGTTAAATGCATTTGAAAAAAGAATAAAGTTGATGATTATGTCATTTATTATCCTGAATAGTGAAGAGGGATTTTAAATCTCTTGTTTTATTATATGTTAGCCATTTTAGAAAATCATAATGTCCACCATATATTTAATGCACACAAACAGGTACTTTCCATCTAGTATTAATAATCCTCATTGCAATTCTACAAAATGGGTGTAGCTAGGCTAGTGAGGAAAGATGCAAAAGACATGGATGAGTGGAGCAGTATTGCAGTATGAAGACCTGGTAAGTAGATTGATATGGGTAGGGTATGAGGTAAAAAGAATTAAAATGGCCGGGCTCGGTGGCTCAGCCTGTAATCCCGCGCCTTTGGGAGGCTGAGGTGAATGGATTGCCTGAGACTGCGGGTTCGAGACCCGCCTGGGCAGCAGCGAGACTTCATCTCTACAATAAAAAAAAAAAATCAGCCAGGCATGGTAGCGCATGTCTGTAATTCCAACTACTTGGAAGGCTGAGGCAGAAGGATGACCGGAGCCCAGCAGGTCGAGGCTGCGGTGGCCGGGAGCGGCCACTGCACTCCAGTCTGGGTGACAGAGTGAGACTCCAACTCAAAAAAAAAAAGAATTAAAATGGAAGAAGATGAGAAAAATTAAGTTGATTTAAGACAGATCAAGTAGAATCCAAGAGCAATCCACTACATTGCCATAAGAAACACTAAGAAAGAAAGCAGGGAAGTGATCTTATCACATTTGTTATCTAGAATAGTGGTCTTCAAATCGGTGTCCATGAGACCTAGGAGAACATAGACTCTCCTAGGGGCATTTGGGCACAGATAACCCAAAGGGTTCAAGTTCTAGCCCCTCTACTTCCATATGAATTATCTCCCAAAGGCCCCTGCCTGTGATGCATGGACTTCTCAGAAGTCAGGCAAGTTCAACACTCTTGCCTTCCCATTCATTACTGCCTTTTCCTACGTTGTTGAACAAAGAAAAAATGGCTCCTGAATTTTACTGTAGTGTATTGCCTTGGGTTTAGAAACCTTGGGGACACAAAACAGAAAGATGTTTGGAAATACATAAACATATATTCATGCTGTTTATCATCGACAGACTACTAAGAATTATATCTCTATATAGTATATGTACATAGACTAATTTCTTCCTGTGTGTGTGTATTTGTGTGTGTTTGTGTTATTTTCTCTTAGAATCCCATGGTCACAAGCAATTTAAAAGTTTATTTTCAATGTATAAAAATCTTTCAGAGAAGTATGTTGAGGCGAGGGATAAAAGACTCTAAAGAAAGTGTGAATTAAGTCACTAAGCAGTGAGAAAAACAAGGTGAGGAAGGCTGTGAACAATATTAAAAGGGCAGAATGTACAGTATATAATGACAGACGGGATATACTAGAAAATGGGATCGGGAAAGAGGAAAGTGAAATATTTTCAGGTTATTAGGTAGATGATACATATATAAGAGAGGCATTAATTTGAGGAGAAAGATAATAAGTTTAGTGCTGCTTATACTGAAATTCAGGTGCTTTGCATCTGTGTTCATAGCACATCTGAGATCATTCATCTCTAGAAGTTGTCATGGAAAGTCAAAAGTGAATAAAGATAGCAAAAACCTTAGGCATACAGCAACTCCAGCGAGTTTATCGAGTACACAAGGAAGGTTATTTGCCCTTTCTCTATAGCATTCATTCAATAAATATTGTGTCAGCAACTATTATATATTATACACTTTTCTAGATGCTGAGGATGTAGAAGTGAAGAAAACATATAAAGGCCTATAGCAAAATTGAAGTTTCAGAACTTTAACACAATCCCGTAAAGCAAAATTTGACACTACCTTGTATTGGAATGTTTACACCATTCAGAGTCAAAGTTTGAATACTCTTCTCAATTTATTTATTTGTTCAAAAGCTGAATGAACTATAAATTTGTTTTTGTTAGTTTGCTTCCAAGCTTCTATCTTATGATGAATGTATCACTGGAAGTGAAGGATGAATGTTGCACATTTTCTGACAAATGTGTGCCAGGGTGCTCTGGGACAGGCCTTTTGAGCCTTCCTTCACATCATATTCCTCAGGAGGGAATATCTGCACAAATGTTATGAGCCCACAAATACTCTGGCTATATAATTTTTAACAGAGTTCCTGGCATAGGGAATTTTAACACATTGCAAACATATAATAATGACTGGAAGTTCTTTATCGTAACTTGTTGAAGTACATGTTGATTTTCTCATGGTTTTCCTCAATAATAACTTCACATTTTTGAATAACAGTTTGTCCTACATACTAGTTCACTGCTTTTCAGAGAGAATTAATATTATTTGTTAGGGCCAATTGTATTTTTCTGAAAATAAACTTCAATTGGTCTCTATTGACATCTATTATTTAAATCAGTTCACAAGCTTCTTGAACTGAAGACACTTGTTTACTCATTAACATTATTGGAATCCCAAATTGTCTGTGTGGGTTATATGAATTCATATTACTCTATTAGAAATTAAAACAGAAATTTAAGAAACATTTTTAATTCATTCAAAATAGTAATAAGCCCATTGGATGTTAATGAATATATCTTAATGAAAAATTGGGAACACAGTGGCATTATAATTTTTTTAATTTAGCAGTTTTGCAAATATCTTTAATGTCAACATTATTGAAGACAACTATGTGTCTTGTATTTACTTCTACCTTCAATGTTTTGTTGTATCACACATTATGTGGCGTCTAGAAACTCCATGGTGTAAATACAAATGATGTCGAAACAGTATTATGACAATAGTTTTGATCTCATGGACCCCTAAAAGGATCTCAGGAACCTCCGGAGTCCCTAGACCATCTGAAAACAGCTTTTTGCTCCGTGTCAGAACACTTAAGGCTGATACAGTCACCTTAAGGTATACTAACTACAATGTACCCATGACTGCTCCAATTACCCTCAGCCTCTCACCATCAGAAACTTACCTCTTCCATCATGTATTATCATTTTTTCTTATTTTCTTCTTTCATCTGGTGGGAGGGTACTCTGTTTTTTACACTCTCTTTTGCATGAGTGGTACCATCATTTACCCAGTTTAGAATTCAAAAGCTTGGAGTAATCCTAAACATCACCCTCTCCTTCATTCCTCACATTTGACCCATCATCAAGGCCTATTGATGTTATCTTCCCAAATATGGCCTTGTCACTCCATCACTGTCTCCTTTATCCAGCAGATGATGATGATGATGATGATAATGATGATGTTGATGATAATGAAGATGATGATTTGAGTTGGAGTCTCCCTCTGGCGCCCAGGCAGGGGTGCAGTGGCATGCTCAGCCACTGCAGCCTCGACCTACTGGAACGTCTAGCTGGAATTACAGGCATG